ATTCTTGCAATCCAGAGTGTGAAGATACATCCAGAACATCAGCGATAAAAAAGGTACACCCAGTGCATTAAAGGATAATTGCCAGCATCATAACAAATACCTAAATCTACATTGGTGCTTCTTGATCGTCCATAAACAGGATTTTTGTTGCTTTACACGTGCCGCGATCGAACTCACTTTTTTTGGGGCAAAAATTAATAAAGCAGAGCGAGAATTGTTGGCCGAGGATGCGGTGGGAGCAACTAGTTACCTTTTAAACAACAGTGGATGTTCGGAGTTGAAACGATCCGATCCGACATGTTTCACTTCAATAGCTACCAGAGTTGGGTGGGTTCGTTGGGTTGCAGAAGCCAACTGATAGGAAGAAAAACGACTAGAAAAAAGTTAGGACAAGCTGGGACACTTGAAAAGTTCACGAGAATGCCAAACAACTTCAAGGAGGAACTCGGTAGCTTCCCAGAGCCTACGCTAGGGAGGATGCTGACAGAATTGTAACAACGAATGATGACATTTCAGAGTCGAGCGGCATTTTGGGCGAAGTTCAAATGCTTTATGCAAGGAAATGAGAGAAGCCTTAGGGAGTTCCCGAGGTGAGTGGGATCACTAGGTGACGTCTCAAACAGGTGCGCCATCGAGGGACGATACAAACCGTGAGCAGTTAATTGATGGCTTATACGATGCAGAAACACAAAGGCTACTTCTACGCGAAATAGTTACAAGTTCCAGCCAGGCGGCTGTTCCAGCACAGTCTCCGGAACTGGCGAGCAATCCTGCCAGAGTAGCAGGAGACGACAAAAATTTACCGAGAGCTGCAGGGCGTACTAGACATGTTGTATGGATCAACCAGAGACGAGTTAGAGGTTAAGGACGCACAACAAAATTGGACGGAGCTGAAGAGATAACACACGGGTACTGATCAAAGTTTGGTTGAGCTGGGAGCTCAAATGTATTTGCAGAGTTCGCTGCAAAAAGACCTTATAAGTGTTATGAACGGCCTTCTGACAAAAACGCAAAACTTTACGGGAATGAGGGTCAGGTTACGTTACCCCCGATTCCCATTCAGAAATTCTATACGAACAAGAACCAGCCAATGCCCCGGTAGTTGCTTCACCCTAACCTGTGTGTTAATGGTCGAAATGACCAGTCTGACAGGGGTGCTCAGTTGCGATTCAGGTAAAATTTTTGAGTGCGATCAGACGAGTCATCTGGCAAAAGAATGCCCCCAAAGTATCTGACGCCACTTAAACTAGCGATGGCCGGGGCAGTAGAAAGACTCGAAGGGGAATTTGTCCCGGCCGTTTTCAAATTACAACAGGAAAACAGTCACCCTACGTAGAAGGCTGACGCACGCAACCCTTCAGTAGTGGAGAGACTGAGTGAGGCGAAATTAGAACACGAGCAGGTGATGTCACTATTTCATCAACTACCCCCAACATCAGTGGATAGGCATATTTTAGCGATGCGTGTGCAGATGGAGACCAAGACACGCATCGAGCGTGCTGGTTTCAGACAGGTGATGGACGACAGTCCCAACCGGTCAGTTACAGATGCTTGCAAGAAAGGTAAATGCGTAGAAACACTACTGGATACTGGAGTCACGACTAAACTTACCATAAGCGAAGTGGATCTTTAAAACAAGCCAGAAATAAGACCAAACCAGTGCCATTTAGAGAAAGCAGATGGACGAGCTATGGATGCCAGCGTACGAATCACAGCCAAACTTAAATAAGGAAAAAGAGTGACGAGATTGAGGCACTAGCGGTTCTCGGGCTGAACAACCTTTTGATCCGATCTAGAAAATAATACGAATGCTATCCCGATTTTGATGTAATCAAATGTGGACTGGACCGAGGGAAGGGTGTACGGATCTGGGCGCTTTTGCACCCAAAATTGGTTTCAAGACCAATGGCACCGCAGACTTAGGATGGCAGAGGCATCCGAACAGTGTCACTGGTCCACAGCTGTGTTAGCAGCAGTTTCCCGAGACTATTAGAAGCAAAATCGAGGACTATTGACCCAACCGACGAACTAATCGAAATGAGACCACATCAATTCACGAGGAAGACAGGGAGTTGGAAACCAGTGAAAAGTACCCTGAGTTGTCTCTCTATATGAAGCTATGAGAAGAAGAAGACCTTCTGTCTTGGAGAACGTAGTCGCTTTCGGCGAGGTGGAGGACGACGAGGACGAGGCTCTGAACTAGAAACGATTACCCTCTAAGGTTGCCTCAATGCAAAAAAATTAAGGCGAAGCTATCACGCAAGTGTTTTAATGCGCGTAGTTCACAGACGAAGCGCGAGACAAGCCGCCGCTCTGTACGAATCTCATCCTGAAGGAGCAAGCTATCAAATACGGACTCAAGTCGCTAGAGTACTGGTCTCGATGTATCGATTAGAACAAAAGGAGCTGAATCCTCAGCAAGATGTGGTTTCAGAGGGACAGCTCTCCACCCACATTTCTGAGGGTAGTTCGAGAGGCGGGTCGAAAAGGATACTCAAACAGCTGCCTTCATTGGAATCAAGGGAAGGACAAGTTGCAGTTGAGAAATCTTTAGCTAGAATACGGGAGTTTTCTGGTGGCCGACGATGAGAACGGAGGTGGGAAGAATTGTTCAAGGAGCCCAAGCTGTGCACACCAGTGCACAGAAGGGAAGCAGCGGTTTGCAGTGGGTCAGGCTCCATTTGATCCGGGAATCTGTTTATCTCGGTGGCCGTTGATATCTCGGGACCAGTGAAGTTGCGACGAGCATTATTTTTGTAGAACCTTTACTGGTGATACAATAATGGTTTTCAAAGGAGAACTTGTCCTCCTCTGCTGTTGGCTGTATTCTATAAAAGTTGATATGAGGTCATTTAACCCTAGCACACCTTCATCTACTGAATTTAACTCATCAACCATAAATTTATCGCTTTAACCTTGGAATAGATTATGCACAATTTTTTTATTCTCTTGACAAGTGAAAAAAAGGTCTTCCCACTTGTGTTATAACAAAATTTACGTCACGAACTATATTCTGTTAGTTTCGTCAAAAATGTTGCAGAGCTAAGATTTCAAAAGGAAAAATAAATGTTTATGTTCCCCCAAAAAATGGCGCATCCGATTAGATTGCTTAGTTGCTATTGGTATGCCCCTCATATATGATTATTTCGAAAAGCACAATATCTATGCCTAGAAAATAACCTAGGTTGTTTGTTGCAAATCACTGTTTTTGAATACGAATGGATTGCGTCTGCTCAGTAAATTAGCACACAAGCTTAGCTATGTGAAGAGCTTTAGAAAAAAAACACCCAATTTTTTTTAAACTATTCTGACACTTTATAATGCAGCTCTACAGTTTTTTTGGTAAGTTAAAACTTCATAATTTTTGTTATTAACTTTCACCATCTTATGTTCTGTCGAGTGGATTATATTTTTATGATGAAGGATCATGTGTAGAAAAGTATCCCATGACAGGAATCAACCCAAAGGGGTCGGACGGAAGTGTAACAGCCGAATGCTGCAGGGGTGGATGAACGTCAGGTCAGTTGTTAGTGGGTACAATTATGGTAGATGAGTCCCCAGAAGAAGCAAAAATGATTAATAGGTCTCTAAAAGTAGAAAAGTATCCCATGACAGGAATCAACCCAAAGGGCTCGGAGGGAAGTGTAACAGCCGAATGCTGCAGGAGTGGATGCACGTCAGGTCAGTTGTTAGTGGGTACAATTATGGTAGATGAGTCCCCAGAAGAAGCAAAAATGATTAATAGGTCTCTAAAAGTAGAAAAGTATCCCATGACAGGAATCAACCCAAAGGGGTCGGAGGGAAGTGTAACAGCCGAATGCTGCAGGAGTGGATGAACGTCAGGTCAGTTGTTAGTGGGTACAATTATGGTAGATGAGTCCCCAGAAGAAGCAAAAATGATTAATAGGTCTCTAAAAGTAGAAAAGTATCCCATGACAGGAATCAACCCAAAGGGGTCGGAGGGAAGTGTAACAGCCGAATGCTGCAGGAGTGGATGAACGTCAGGTCATTTGTTAGTGGGTACAATTATGGTAGATGAGTCCCCAGAAGAAGCAAAAATGATTAATAGGTCTCTAAAAGTAGCAAAATATCCCATGACAGGAATCAACCCAAAGGGGTCGGAGGGAAGTGTAACAGCCGAATGCTGCAGGAGTGGATGAACGTCAGGTCAGTTGTTAGTGGGTACAATTATGGTAGATGAGTCCCCAGAAGAAGCAAAAATGATTAATAGGTCTCTAAAAGTAGAAAAGTATCCCATGACAGGAATCAACCCAAAGGGCTCGGAGGGAAGTGTAACAGCCGAATGCTGCAGGAGTGGATGCACGTCAGGTCAGTTGTTAGTGGGTACAATTATGGTAGATGAGTCCCCAGAAGAAGCAAAAATGATTAATAGGTCTCTAAAAGTAGAAAAGTATCCCATGACAGGAATCAACCCAAAGGGGTCGGAGGGAAGTGTAACAGCCGAATGCTGCAGGAGTGGATGAACGTCAGGTCAGTTGTTAGTGGGTACAATTATGGTAGATGAGTCCCCAGAAGAAGCAAAAATGATTAATAGGTCTCTAAAAGTAGAAAAGTATCCCATGACAGGAATCAACCCAAAGGGCTCGGAGGGAAGTGTAACAGCCGAATGCTGCAGGAGTGGATGCACGTCAGGTCAGTTGTTAGTGGGTACAATTATGGTAGATGAGTCCCCAGAAGAAGCAAAAATGATTAATAGGTCTCTAAAAGTAGAAAAGTATCCCATGACAGGAATCAACCCAAAGGGCTCGGAGGGAAGTGTAACAGCCGAATGCTGCAGGAGTGGATGCACGTCAGGTCAGTTGTTAGTGGGTACAATTATGGTAGATGAGTCCCCAGAAGAAGCAAAAATGATTAATAGGTCTCTAAAAGTAGAAAAGTATCCCATGACAGGAATCAACCCAAAGGGGTCGGAGGGAAGTGTAACAGCCGAATGCTGCAGGAGTGGATGAACGTCAGGTCAGTTGTTAGTGGGTACAATTATGGTAGATGAGTCCCCAGAAGAAGCAAAAATGATTAATAGGTCTCTAAAAGTAGAAAAGTATCCCATGACAGGAATCAACCCAAAGGGGTCGGAGGGAAGTGTAACAGCCGAATGCTGCAGGAGTGGATGAACGTCAGGTCATTTGTTAGTGGGTACAATTATGGTAGATGAGTCCCCAGAAGAAGCAAAAATGATTAATAGGTCTCTAAAAGTAGCAAAATATCCCATGACAGGAATCAACCCAAAGGGGTCGGAGGGAAGTGTAACAGCCGAATGCTGCAGGAGTGGATGAACGTCAGGTCAGTTGTTAGTGGGTACAATTATGGTAGATGAGTCCCCAGAAGAAGCAAAAATGATTAATAGGTCTCTAAAAGTAGAAAAGTATCCCATGACAGGAATAAACCCAAAGGGGTCGGAGGGAAGTGTAACAGCCGAATGCTGCAGGAGTGGATGAACGTCAGGTCAGTTGTTAGTGGGTACAATTATGGTAGATGAGTCCCCCCAGAAGAAGCAAAATGATTAATAGGTCTCTAAAAGTAGAAAAGTATCCCATGACAGGAATCAACCCAAAGGGGTCGGAGGGAAGTGTAACAGCCGAATGCTGCAGGAGTGGATGAACGTCAGGTCAGTTGTTAGTGGGTACAATTATGGTAGATGAGTCCCCAGAAGAAGCAAAAATGATTAATAGGTCTCTAAAAGTAGAAAAGTATCCCATGACAGGAATCAACCCAAAGGGGTCGGAGGGAAGTGTAACAGCCGAATGCTGCAGGAGTGGATGAACGTCAGGTCAGTTGTTAGTGGGTACAATTATGGTAGATGAGTCCCCAGAAGAAGCAAAAATGATTAATAGGTCTCTAAAAGTAGAAAAGTATCCCATGACAGGAATCAACCCAAAGGGGTAGGAGGAAAGTGTAACAGCCGAATGCTGCAGGAGTGGATGAACGTCAGGTCAGTTGTTAGTGGGTACAATTATGGTAGATGAGTCCCCAGAAGAAGCAAAAATGATTAATAGGTCTCTAAAAGTAGAAAAGTATCCCATGACAGGAATCAACCCAAAGGGGTCGGAGGGAAGTGTAACAGCCGAATGCTGCAGGAGTGGATGAACGTCAGGTCATTTGTTAGTGGGTATAATTATGGTAGATGAGTCCCCAGAAGAAGCAAAAATGATTAATAGGTCTCTAAAAGTAGCAAAATATCCCATGACAGGAATCAACCCAAAGGGGTCGGAGGGAAGTGTAACAGCCGAATGCTGCAGGAGTGGATGAACGTCAGGTCAGTTGTTAGTGGGTACAATTATGGTAGATGAGTCCCCAGAAGAAGCAAAAATGATTAATAGGTCTCTAAAAGTAGAAAAGTATCCCATGACAGGAATAAACCCAAAGGGGTCGGAGGGAAGTGTAACAGCCGAATGCTGCAGGAGTGGATGAACGTCAGGTCAGTTGTTAGTGGGTACAATTATGGTAGATGAGTCCCCCCAGAAGAAGCAAAATGATTAATAGGTCTCTAAAAGTAGAAAAGTATCCCATGACAGGAATCAACCCAAAGGGGTCGGAGGGAAGTGTAACAGCCGAATGCTGCAGGAGTGGATGAACGTCAGGTCAGTTGTTAGTGGGTACAATTATGGTAGATGAGTCCCCAGAAGAAGCAAAAATGATTAATAGGTCTCTAAAAGTAGAAAAGTATCCCATGACAGGAATCAACCCAAAGGGGTCGGAGGGAAGTGTAACAGCCGAATGCTGCAGGAGTGGATGAACGTCAGGTCAGTTGTTAGTGGGTACAATTATGGTAGATGAGTCCCCAGAAGAAGCAAAAATGATTAATAGGTCTCTAAAAGTAGAAAAGTATCCCATGACAGGAATCAACCCAAAGGGGTCGGAGGAAAGTGTAACAGCCGAATGCTGCAGGAGTGGATGAACGTCAGGTCAGTTGTTAGTGGGTACAATTATGGTAGATGAGTCCCCAGAAGAAGCAAAAATGATTAATAGGTCTCTAAAAGTAGAAAAGTATCCCATGACAGGAATCAACCCAAAGGGGTCGGAGGGAAGTGTAACAGCCGAATGCTGCAGGAGTGGATGAACGTCAGGTCAGTTGTTAGTGGGTACAATTATGGTAGATGAGTCCCCAGAAGAAGCAAAAATGATTAATAGGTCTCTAAAAGTAGAAAAGTATCCCATGACAGGAATCAACCCAAAGGGGTCGGAGGGAAGTGTAACAGCCGAATGCTGCAGGAGTGGATAAACGTCAGGTCAGTTGTTAGTGGGTACAATTATGGTAGATGAGTCCCCAGAAGAAGCAAAAATGATTAATAGGTCTCTAAAAGTAGAAAAGTATCCCATGACAGGAATCAATCCAAAGGGGTCGGAGGGAAGTGTAACAGCCGAATGCTGCAGGAGTGGATGAACGTCAGGTCAGTTGTTAGTGGGTACAATTATGGTAGATGAGTCCCCAGAAGAAGCAAAAATGATTAATAGGTCTCTAAAAGTAGAAAAGTATCCCATGACAGGAAACAACCCAAAGGGGTCGGAGGGAAGTGTAACAGCCGAATGCTGCAGGGGTGGATGAACGTCAGGTCAGTTGTTAGTGGATACAATTATGGTAGATGAGTCCCCAGAAGAAGCAAAAATTATTAATAGGTCTCTAAAAGTAGAAAAGTATCCCATGACAGGAATCAACCCAAAGGGGTCGGAGGGAAGTGTAACAGCCGAATGCTGCAGGAGTGGATGAACGTCAGGTCAGTTGTTAGTGGGTACAATTATGGTAGATGAGTCCCCAGAAGAAGCAAAAATGATTAATAGGTCTCTAAAAGTAGAAAAGTATCCCATGACAGGAATCAACCCAAAGGGGTCGGAGGGAAGTGTAACAGCCGAATGCTGCAGGAGTGGATGAACGTCAGGTCAGTTGTTAGTGGGTACAATTATGGTAGATGAGTCCCCAGAAGAAGCAAAAATGATTAATAGGTCTCTAAAAGTAGAAAAGTATCCCATGACAGGAATCAACCCAAAGGGGTCGGAGGGAAGTGTAACAGCCGAATGCTGCAGGAGTGGATGAACGTCAGGTCAGTTGTTAGTGGGTACAATTATGGTAGATGAGTCCCCAGAAGAAGCAAAAATGATTAATAGGTCTCGAAAAGTAGAAAAGTATCCCATGACAGTAATCAACCCAAAGGGGTCGGAGGGAAGTGAAACAGCCGAATGCTGCAGGAGTGGATGAACGTCAGGTCAGTTGTTAGTGGGTACAATTATGATAGATGAGTCCCCAGAAGAAGCAAAAATGATTAATAGGTCTCTAAAAGTAGAAAAGTATCCCATGACAGGAATCAACCCAAAGGGGTCGGAGGGAAGTGTAACAGCCGAATGCTGCAGGAGTGGATGAACGTCAGGTCAGTTGTTAGTGGGTACAATTATGGTAGATGAGTCCCCAGAAGAAGCAAAAATGATTAATAGGTCTCTAAAAGTAGAAAAGTATCCCATGACAGGAATCAACCCAAAGGGGTCGGAGGGAAGTGTAACAGCCGAATGCCGAAGGAGTGGATGAACGTCAGGTCAGTTGTTAGTGGGTACAATTATGGTAGATGAGTCCCCAGAAGAAGCAAAAATGATTAATAGGTCTCTAAAAGTAGAAAAGTATCCCATGACAGGAATCAACCCAAAGGGGTCGGAGGGAAGTGTAACAGCCGAATGCTGCAGGAGTGGATGAACGTCAGGTCAGTTGTTAGTGGGTACAATTATGGTAGATGAGTCCCCAGAAGAAGCAAAAATGATTAATAGGTCTCTAAAAGTAACAAGCATGAATGATGGGTTCCTAGACGTAACGAGTACAAACGATTGATCCTTAAATTTAGCAAATAAAAATGATGGGTCCCGATGCAGAAAAACCAAAAAACAATGTACTCAAATACATGCTGGAAAAATGCGCTCTTAAATCTTCAAAAAGAGCATTCTCTTCGAGGACCATCTATATTTTAGAGAACTTACCAACGTAGTTTCTACTGATTATGATTGTCATTGTAAACAAGAAAAACTCGCGGATGGACTTTCTCCACGCAAATCGAGGAATCGCAAAAAAGTAGGGAGTCGTGTTATCAGGGGGTCGAAATCCTGAGTCGAATATCCCTACCCCCCACCTAATCCGCTCCTGAAATCATGTTGAGAACCCCTCGTATATCGCTGTTGATCACATTGAAGTTGTTATTTCAGCTGTGATGAGAACTTCGAGCGTCAAAAAAATGTCCGAATGTTTTAGCTTTTCTGATTGATTTGGAGCAGAAAAATTGAAATATGATACTATATGATTGTTACAATATGAAAAAAAACACAAGTGACTCTCCTGCCGAAAAATTTTTAGTTTGTCCTTAATTTCATATTTTTTTTGTAATAAGATCTGTTTTATCGGGAATTCTTGTTCAACTTATTGAACTAAATGCTATTTGAAAATATTGATTGTTTCGACATCAAGGGCGGATTTTTGCGGATGATTCTCCCGCTCTCAGGAATTCGACCCTCTCACCAACCAAAGGGTCCCTCTTTTGTGACATCCATTTTCGACAAACCAAACCTAAAATTTTTCTAAAATCGCCCTCGGCGCCAATATATACTTATATTATGGGGGGAGCGCGCGCCTAAAAAACGGGATTCTTGGTTAAAATTTTCCAAAAAGTGGCTAAAAACGCCTTGTGGCCTGTTTTTTTTTATCAAACTTTTGCCTGCGGCGCAGACATTTTGGTCCAAGATAGAGTTTTTTTAAGTGCTTTGGGAGAGCTCGGAAAATGAATTTGGTCGACCAAATTTCGAAAAAATTTTGAAAATCCGCCCCCCCCCCTCCGTCGAGAAAATCCTAGCTCCGTCCCTGATTAAAAGTCTGCGTTTCTATAATTCTTAAATCAATGCTATTCTCCTATCGTTTTAATTCTCCGAAGCGATTCATTCATTTTTTTTAGCTTTGCTTGCTTCATTTTTTACCGTAATTTTATTTCCACAATTTTTAGTAGAGTTTTTTGAAATTTGAATATCTTCTTCATATATTTTACTTGTTATGAGGATTGCAAACTGAAGTGCTACGCGAATGAGGTACCGCCAGGATGATACTGGGCAAGGACTGGGACAGCAGTTACATAATTTGGAAAAACTTGACTCACCAATACACTGACAATGCATGGTCAGGTAAGAACTTTGAGGGTGATGAAGAATTTTGATCCAATTATAACAACATTTTATTTCAGTGTCTGCTTTTGATGGAAATTCAGGATTTCATTTGCAGGTAGAATACCTTGGCGTATATAAAGTGCACAGGGCTGAATTTTTTCTGTTAAGTTAAGGCATCTCGATTTTAAAGGACTCAGGCTAGGGACTGGGATTTAATTTGAGGATTGAACTGAAGATTGAGAAGAGATGGTGATAGTTGAAGAAAGAATTGACAAAGTCATATATACATGTCATAACAATTTAACTATCACAAAAGTACCGAATATTTAATTATGTCTAATTATTAGTCGGTGATCACTAGTTGACCTTGCCTGAGCTTAATCAGTTTAAAATAGTTGACCTCCGCCAGATTAATCTCTTCAATTTACTTCCAGGCTGCGATCCATCAGTGTTCTTCGTCGACGATGATCCACCTTAGCATTGGGGTTTTTTTTGTCAATAAAGGCGTTTCCATGACCTTGTTGGGGGTAAAAATGGTGTTCGAATCTCTCATCTTCCATGCGTTCTCAATCAAAGTGGTACTTCACAGGTCACAGGGCTCTTGCGAATCTTGATGCAGCTCTGGCTGTCCTTCATGATCACTGTTGTTTCGCCATTAAACACGACGATCTCACCACAACCGGTAAATGATCGTAGATATAGAGCCTCTTGAACCGTTGCTGCAATTTCATGATATTAGCCTCCTTTGTTGAGGAGTAGTAGGCACTTTTGTGAACTTTGTAACTCTACACTAACAGCACCTTGTGAAAAATGTATCTCCTCACAGCATCTTGGTAGTTTTTGATCTCTACTTCCACCCTTGACAGCGTTCGAATCAGATTTTTCAGAGTTGTCGCTTCGTTGCAGCTCTTAAAATTAGAAAAGCATCCTTGTCCGGCAGCATACAATTATTTCACACCGTATCCACAATGAGGTGTTCTTCCCATGTTGAAGTTGTAGCACAGCAACTGAAGAATCCTGTCCTCCCTTGATTTCACTCCCTTGCGAAATGACCACTTTGACTAAACTTGAAGCACCCTGCTTCTTTGCTCCGGTCCCATTTGTTTCACCCAACCCACTGCCTTGAGCACTAGATTGTCCACTGTCGCTGCAGAATTTGCTGTCGTTCGCCATATGACCCCCTCTGACCGCACCATAGCAGCCACAAAAAATAACACTCTTTTCTACTTTCTCATAACTTGCATGGATACGTGACCATGCCCAGTCCTCTCTTTCATTCAAGACTTCCTGGTGTCATCGTACTTCCTCACCCTCGTTGTTCTCAGCTCTGGAAGCTTCTTGGCTGGTTGAACAATCTCCTGCGCCACAAAATGCTCTCAGCTGTCAGGCAGCTTAGTGATCACCAGAGTAATGAACAGAGTACGCGTGATTGATTCTCCAGCTTCGCTCTTTTACCTCTTCAGCTCTTGGCTGCGAATGATGTAGCCATCGAGAAAATCCTCTGGTTGTAAGCGCAGCTTCGCAAGCTAATCCACTAGGTTGATCACTTTTGGTAAACTCTACAATTTCTTTTGCAGCAGCTTCTCGGCCTTTTTTTGATGATAGAGCCACCTATTCTCACGCTGTGTCGTTCTTCAATAACATCAAAAATCTGTTATCCAATTCAAGAAGTAGGTGGGACCATACAGTGTTCAAAGTTTTTTTCTCTCTGCATGATGAAAACTGCTCGGTTCTTCATCTTCGTGTCGCAGGCTGCCTGCTGATCGGCATTCGGATTCTCGGGGAGAGTAGGCTCTGGCAGATCATCATTGAAAAACACTGTCCTAAGCCCGTGGCGCGCATCAGTGCCAGATTTTTTCTCGTACCAGCAGGAAAATTTCCAGACTATCGACTAAAAACCGCCAGCTTCAAATCCACGGTTGCTAAAGACTGCTATCTGAGAGCTAAAAACTCTGGCATAAATAAAAATCAAGAAAGTATTAGAACTCGGGGTCCGTAACCTGTTAAGCATTGAGACTTAGTGCACCTGGGATTCGAAAAAAGGGGCTTACAGACTGGGATTTATTCTGAGGATTGAACTGAAAATTGAGAAAAGACACTGATAATTCAGGAAAGAACTAAGAAAAGAAGGACATAACAAACTAAAAATCTAGTTTATTAGTCTATGATGATTAGTTGATATTATCCGAGTTTAATCAGTTTTTTGAGAATTCTGTGCTTAAAGAGAGAAAAAAATTAGAAAGCGCCGAATGGTTCCGGTGAATTTCGAGACAATTTTTTAGACCGCTCGGCCAACCTAACTCCTTTGGGTTTAATTTAACTGTTGTTTTTTCTCGTTTGTTTTGCATGGCAATTAAAAACTTTGACTGTTCATGTAAAAAAACTTCATTTTCAAGAAGATGCGTTTGTTGAAACCACAGGGCAATTGCTTTCAACGGGATAAAAAATAGTGTTTTTATTGGGAGAAAAATTGAATTTTTTCGTGAACAGAAAAAAAATTGCGTTAAACTGACTCAACGGCTTAGTTCAAACCTCACTATTGCAGAGAAAGTTTTGGACTTTATAGACAGGTAAATTGCAATTTCGGGAAATATTAGTTCAGATTATTTCAATTTTTTGAGGAAAAAAAACATAATTATGTTTTTCGAACTTTGAACTCATGGAGAGGTGAAGTTTGATTTTTTGAATTTGATAGGATGAAATCTTTTTTTTGTTACGTCGTATGACTCAAAACCGTAAAAAAAACGTCAAAGATATGAATGATTTGAATGCATTCTGGCAAATCATAATTCGCATCCAAACGTGTAATTGTTTAAATGAAATAATCCCATTCAAAGCTAGAACAGGCTAAAATCAGCCACATTTTTTGATGGCAAATCAAAGATGGCAAAAAATAGCCAAAAAATATCAAACAATGTCTTTTTCTACATTTTATGATTAGTTCTAGCGATTTATACTTTTTGGTTTCGTGCTAAAAGACCATTTTTGGGGCGCTCAATTATACTAGTCATACTGCTGAACAAAACGAATTGTTTGAACGAAATTATCCCATTCGAAGCTAGAACAGGCTAAAATCAGCCAAATGTTTTGAATCACATAAAGATGGCAAAAAAATAAACAAAAAAAATCAAATAATTTCTTTTTCTACATTTTATTATTAGTTTTAGCGATGTATACTTTTTGCTTTTGTGCTAAAAGACCATTATGGGGCGCTCAATTACACTAGTCATACTGCTGAACGGGTAATAGTGCCTTCGAAGATTTTTAGTACGCTGCAAAGAGCTACTCGGTTGCTGTCTTTTCCAAAGTTAAACATTCTATTGCGGGCTGAAAGATAATCACTTCGGGGTATAAGAGACTCTACATCTACAAGTCAGCCTAAACAGCCGGTCTTAAGAGTGAAAAAGAGTGTCACTTGGCTCAATTTGAATCCAATCCGTATTGCATTTGAATACTCGCGTGAATATATTGCATTTGTGCACAAACCAATTTCTCTGAATGAAATCATACTCGAAGCTCAAAGAAGGGAACATAGCACTTGGCTGCCTCATCAGG